AAACATTGTCCCATTGTTTAATCACTCACGAATTAATGATAATATTTACATAACATTGTCAATGTATTCTTTTTGTTTCTTTAGAAAGTAACTAACTTAGGAGCTGAACTTGTGCCCTTTTAAGACCAAACTTGTAGGTTTTACTAGGGTAACAATTGAAATTCATGTCACCCCCAAAACCACGCTTTGTGTTATAATTTTTGTAATCAGATTGATCGAATTCCGGAGCCTCAATGAGCCTAAGCCCGTGGGAAGAAGCCATTGATTCTAAATTCCATTCTATATGAAAAGCATTGGTTTTGTGGGAAATGTGAATTTCACCATTTTCACCTATTATCTCTTTTGCATTCTTAAGAAACAAACTCACGAGTCTTCTGTGCTTTCTGTAGAAAAAGAGAAAAGATGTCTTAAATGATCTTACTAGTAAAAAAATAAAGTCATTAACTGAAAGAATTATAAAAAAAAATAATGATAACTAACTGACCTTAGGGTAGCCTCACGAGATAAGTTCTTGAAAAATCCAGCAAAGGGAAAGTTGTAAATTATCCGATCAAATGTCTTTCCTCCAAACAAGTGAGGACTTGTAACTTTGGTAGCGTCAATCCCATGCATGACAGTGCACTTTCTACTCCTAAGCTTCTGGATGTTGGACATTGCACGCTTATAATTTTTCTTCAAAAAATCTGAAAAAAGCACAAACACGTAACACAAATCTTGAAATATAAAAACATGTAAAAACAACAAGGGGAGCCCAACAGTCAAATATTACACACAAATTCTCTCTTGGTACATCCTAGTCAACGGATGTCATATTCTAGGAAGAATAATGATATTTGCAGTCGCTCACTGCAGCAGTCGCCCTATGTAACACACACATGTCAAGTGTGTATTTAATGCATTAATGTGTTAAAAAAATTACCACATTAATGTATCAAATAATTACATGACATGTGTGTGTCACATAGGGCGACTGCTGCAGTAAGCGACTATGAATAGCATTACTCTTCTAGGAATGGCATTAATGCGTTAAAAACATGAGGTTTGCACAAGATTTTCAACAATATATCATTGATCTCTTGGTTCATTACACTTTTTTCATTAATTTTTATTTAAATGAGACGATAAAAAATTTGTTAACCGAATTGATTTAACTAATCTAGTACCCTAAATATTCACAAAGATATACAAATTATCATCATATAATAAATGGAGGTAGAGAATTTCATACCCACAGAATCAAGAGAAGTTGCAATCATGTTGCGGGCAGAACCAAAAGCCACAGCCAAACTAGCAGAGAAAGAGAAGTCTCCTTCACCCACAAGCAGTATCCTGTGGTTACTATTATAATGTTTTATCCATTTCCCTTTTGCCACCAGGCCTTTTATCACCTTTTCTTCCTCAACTTTCTCTGGAGATTTATTCGGGCCTA